TTTCTTCCTATACTCCTTCAAATGTAGACTTCATCCTTTCCAAAAGTGGTCAGGCTACCAAAACGCTTTTGATAACTTGACTCTTTCATGTTTTTCTGTTTACGTGTTTGTTTCAGCAGTTTCTTCGGCTTCTTATCTATTTTATCACGTCTTGTATGTTGCCCTGTTGTCGTCGGTCTTCACTTTTGACTCTGTCATATAGTGATTTTTATTTCACTACATATATGGCACTAGAACGCTTCTGCATTGGCGATATTTAGTTTTATGGCAGAGATATTTAGTCTTCTATCAAACAGTTTCTGGCATTTCGTGCATATTTTGATAAATTTCGCAATATAAAGGAAACTACAATAAATAAGCATAGACCATGTTTATAGAGTATTTGTAGATAATTAAATTGTCACCCTGTATAAGATACTCTGCTACAACAAATAACAATCTACGTATCTTGTCTTTGATAACATCTCAAGAGTAATCGTACCAATTTAAAGCTTGAATGAACGTCGGATTCGTTTAAATTCAAATCTCGTATTTCGGTGGCTTTCAAAGACCCTATTTCAAATGTAAAATATTACTGAAAACAGGAGCCTTTAACCCCGGAAACAAATCCGGCACCGTTATAAATCCCAGAGAAAATCCGCCCCACGTCAAATGATACATGTAATTATTGCATCCCATCTCGTATTGTTGAAATTGAATGTTTTTTATCCCCTCATCGTTTTAAGTAAACAAACAGAAAAAAATGGATTCATTTTAAACGAACAAACAGTAAAAATAATATCTCAGACGATTTTTAATTAAAAATTCCGGAGTTCGTAGAAAAATAGAAACAAAAAGAAATAAATTAAACGTTAAGATAAAAATTTTTATTTAATACGATACAAAAATCAATGTTTCGAATGAGCTTTAACTGGTTGAAAAGGAACGTTTTGGTGCAATTCGTAACAAAGGGTGACTGGGGAGGGGGTGGGGAGCATCGAAACACCCACAGATGTCGACGACGTGTGCTTAAAATAGGGGTGTCCAATTGTTCCACAACGTTCCACCCTCAGTTGACATCATATTCTGCTGGGTGTACCTCATTTTTTTTTCAAAGCATGGACTCGATAAAACAAATCAAAACCAACGAAAACCCAACTGAAATTGTTTTCAACAACGCTTTAATAGAAGAAAATCAAGTATTGTTGGCCGAAAATGTTTGGAAGAAAATTTTGATTGAGGGAAAAATCGAAAATCACGAAGATTTGAAGTTGATGTATTTAAAATGTTTTCAAGGGTGCGATTTGAAATATTTAATGAGTGAAAAGTGATTTTAAATAATTATTTTTGTTTTCTATAATAATTCTATACAAAAAAATAATTATGTTTTATTTGAAATTGTTTATTTTTATTTGCAATAAAATTTTTTTAAAAACTCGAATTATCTAATCTTAATAGTTTCTTAGGAAATGAAAAATCCTTTAAAATGAGCCCAAACTCGATATATTTAGGTGTTATCATACTCAAGATATCTTTTTTTATAAAAATAAGATGGCGGAAATTAAAAAAAAATAATTAGCCATCTATTTGGCAAAATCTTAATCTCCATTGAATTTCCTTTAAATTAACTCCAAACACGATCAAGTTATCTCAAAAAACAACCAAGATAATCTTATTACAACATTATTTTGACAGTTGATGTTTGACGTTTGACATTTTTAGGTTAATTTACAAAAACAAATATTTTTAAAGATAAACGAGTCGTGTTTGGATTCATTTTACAAGATTTCTTTTTCTTAATAACTTGCTAAAGATAAAAAATAATATTTATCCAATTCCGGTTTTTTAAATTTAAAGTTTTTTAATTAAAATTCTTAATCTCCATTAAATTTCCTTTAAAATAACTCCAAACACGATCAAGTTATCTTTAAAAGCAACCAAGATAATCTTATTACAACATTATTTTGACAGTTGATGTTTGACATTTTTAGGTTAACTTACAAAAAGAATTATTTTTAAAAATAAACGGGTCGTGTTTGGACTCATTTTACAAGATTTCTTTTTCTTAATAAGTTGCTAAAGATAAAAAAAATTTTTCTCCTCTTCCGGTTTTTAAAATTTCAAATTTTTTAATAATAATTCTTAATCTTCATTAAATTTCCTTTAAAACAACTCCCAACACGATCAAATTATCTTTAAAAACAACCACGATAATCTTATTATAACATTATTTTGACAGTTAATGTTTGACGTTTGACATTTTTAGGTTAACTTACAAAGAAAATTATTTTTAAAGATAAACGGGTCGTGTTTGGACTCATTTTACAAGATTTCTTTTTCTTAATAAGTTGCTAAAGATAAAAATATTTTTCTCCACTTCCAGTTTTTAAAATTTCAAGTTTTTTTAATAAAAATTCTTAATCTCCATTAAATTTCCTTTGTAACAACTCCAAACACGATCAAATTATCTTTAAAAATAACCAAAATAATCTTATTATAACATTATTTTGACAGTTAATGTTTGACGTTTGACATTTTTAGGTTAACTTACAAAAAAAAATATTTTTAAAGATAAACGGATCGTGTTTGGACTCATTTTACAAGATTTCTCTTTCTTAATAAGTTGCTAAAGATAAACAAAAATTTTCTCCACTTCCGGTTTTTAAAATTTCAAGTTCTTTAATAAAAATTCTTAATCTCCATTAAATTTCCTTTCTAACAACTCCAAACACGATCAAGTTATCGTTAAAAACAACCAAGATAATCTTATTATAACATTATTTTGACAGTTGATGTTTGACGTTTGACATTTTTAGGTTAACTTACAAAAAAAATTATTTTTAAACATAAGAGGGTCGTGTTTGGACTCATTTTACAAGATTTCTTTTTCTTAATAACTTGCTAAAGATAAAAAATAATATTTATCCGCTTCCGGTTTTTGAAATTTCAAAGTTTTTTAATAATAATTCTTAATCTTCATTAAATTTCCTTTAAAACAACTCCCAACACGATCAAATTATCTTTAAAAACAACCACGATAATCTTATTATAACATTATTTTGACAGTTAATGTTTGACGTTTGACATTTTTAGGTTAACTTACAAAGAAAATTATTTTTAAAGATAAACTTGTCGTGTTTGGACTCATTTTACAAGATCTCTTTTTCTTAATAAGTTGCTATAGATAAAAAAAAATTTTTCTCTACTTCCGGTTTTTAAAATTTCAAGTTTTTTAATAAAAATTCTTAATCTACATTAATGTTCCTTTAAAACAACTCCAAACACGATCAAATTATCTTTAAAAATAACCAAAATAATCTTATTATAACATTATTTTGACAGTTAATGTTTGACATTTGACATTTTTAGGTTAACTTACAAAAAAAAAAATTTTAAACATAAACGGTTCGTGTTTGGACTCATTTTACAAGATTTCTTTTTCTTAATAACTTGCTAAAGATAAAAAAAATTTGTCTCCACTTCCGGTTTTTAAAATTTCAAGTTTTTTAATAAAAATTCTTAATCTACATTAATTTTCCTTTAAAACAACTCCAAACACGATCAAATTATCTTTCAAAACAACCAAGATAATCTTATTATAACATTATTTTGACAGTTAATGTTTGACATTTGACATTTTTAGGTTATGTTAAAAAAAATTATTTTTAAAGATAAACGGGTCGTGTTTGGACTCATTTTACAAGATTTCTTTTTCTTAATAACTTGCTAAAGATACAAAAAATTTTTCTCCACTTCCGGTTTTTAAAATTTCAAGTTTTTTAATAAAAATTCTTAATCTACATTAATTTGCCTTTAAAACAACTCCAAACACGATCAAGTTATCTTTAAAAATAACCAAAATAATCTTATTATAACATTATTTTGACAGTTAATGTTTGACATTTGACATTTTTAGGTTAACTTACAGAAAAAAATATTTTTAAAGATAAACAGGTCGTGTTTGGGCTCATTTTACAAAATTTCTTTTTCTTAATAAGTTCCTAAAGATAAAAAAAAATTTTCTCCACTTCCGGTATTTAAAATTTCAAATTTTTTTAATAAAAATTCTTAATCGCCATTAAATTTCCTTTGTAACAACTCCAAACACGATCAAATTATCTTTAAAAATAACCAAAATAATCTTATGATAACATTATTTTGACAGTTAATGTTTGACATTTGACATTTTTAGGTTAACTTACAAAAAAAATTATTTTTAAAGATAAACGGGTCGTGTTTGGACTCATTTTACAAGATTTCTTTTTCTTAATAAGTTGCTAAAGATAAAAAAAAAATTTCTCCACTTTCGGTTTTTAAAATTTTAAATTTTTTAATAAAAATTCTTAATCTACATTAATTTTCCTTTAAAACAACTCCAAACACGATCAAGTTATCTTTAAAAACAACCAAAATAATCTTATTATAACATTATTTTGACAGGTAGTATTTGACGTTTGACATTTTTAGGTTAACTTACAAAAAATAATATTTTTAAAGATAAACAAACTTAATCTCCATTAAATTTCTTTTAAATCGGTCAAAACATGTCACGTTATTAAAAACACCCGAAATGTCACTTTAAATTTATTTTGACATTTGACGTTTCAATTTTTAGGTTAACTTTTTTATTTTTTAAGATAACCATGTCATGTTTGGGCTCATTTTAAAGGATTTTTCATTTCCTTTAAGAAAATGATTAAAAGAATTAATGATATAGAATTTGCTTATTTTTATTTATAATAAAATTAATTAATTTTTTTTTAAATTACTTATTGGAACGTAATGCTCATTAAAAATCCTTTAAAATGAGTACAAACTCGACGGGGGTATTTTTAAAAACAATCGAGATACAATCAATTAAAAAATGGCGTTCGTCGATTGTTTTTGGTTAATTTTTGTTGTATCTTTTTTGTTTTTTGAGATAAATGGGTCGTGTTTGGGCTCATTTTAAAGGATTTTTTATTTTCTCCAAGAAAATAAGGTTTAAATTAAAAAAAAAAAAAATTTTTAAATTATTTTTTTTTATTTTACAAAAAATTTCTTAATAAAAATGACTAGTTCGTTTTTAATTTCTTAAATCTACTGATATAAATGACTAGATTAAATCGAAATTCTAATAAATCCTTAAGCAGTCTCTAAATAAATGACTAGAATACAAAAAAAGACGATGATAAATTATGGTTTTGGGTTTAAAAATTTTTCTACTAAATTTTGCATGATGGGGTGATTATTTGGGAGTCCTTGCTCGGTTAGAAACCTCATTGCTTCATTCGCGCAAGCAGAATAGCCCTGCTCAAAAGTATCCTCAAATTCGTCTTTTTCCAAATCTTTTTGTAACTCGCAAACTTTTTGTAAACAAATTCTCAGTAATTCATCCACTTTTTCTTTGCTATTGTTATCTTTATTTCCATGTTTTCTCGTCTGAAATTAATCATTTTTAAATAAGTCTTAAAAATGAACTCGAATTAACTCACTCTTTGCCGACTAGATTTACTCGAACAATTTGGTTGTTGATTTTTTTTAGGCACTTTCATTTCGACGAACAATTCACCCGGATTAAAAAATAATTATTAATTAATTTAGTTCTTTTTTAAGGTTATAATCCGCGAGGTGTACACTACAACACGAAAACTAAAGACTATTCTGCTCCTAAAATGTGAGGCGTAACTGGGCAGATGTTTACCTTCTCGAAAACAAAAAAAAATGTAAGGTATTCTGACCAATGAGAGCGCGATTTATGCTGTTGATCGCCGGCAGATGTTTCCCGAACAGATGCCTACCGTCAGTGACGGTCAGCTGTTGCTAGATTTCCTATCTTTGTCATTCAAGAAGACAGGTGTTAATACTTAATAGTTTTGATTATTTTAAAATAATAATTTTATTTTATTTTTTATTAAAAATTCGTTATCTTTGTGAGAAATCGCGTGAAATGAGCCCAAACACGATGGGGTTATCTCAAAAAACAACGGAGTTACGACAATCTTTAAAAAAGCGATCGTCGATTGTTTTTAATTTTTTTTTGTTGTATCTCGGTCGTTTTTTGAGATAAATTAGTCGAGTTTGGAGTTGTTTTAAAGGAAATTTAATGGAGATTCCGAAATTTTATTAAAGAACTTGAAATTTTAAAAACCGGAAGTGAATCCATTTTTTTTTAATTTTTAGTAACTTATTAAGGAAAAGAAATCTTTTAAAATGAGCCCAAACACGACCCGTTTATTTTAAAAAAATAAATTTTTTATAAGTTAACCTAAAAATGTCAAACGTCAAACATTAACTGTCAAAATAATGTGATAATAAGATTATCTTGGTTGTTTTTAAAGATAACATGATCGTGTTTGGAGTTGTTTTAAAAGAAAATTAATGTAGATCAAGAATTTTTATTAAAAAACTTGAAATTTTAAAAACCGGAAGTGGAGAAAAATTATTTTTTGTCTTTAGCAACTTATTAAGAAAAAAAAATTGTAAAATGAGTTCAAACACGACCAGTTTACCTTTAAAAATAATTTTTTTTGTAAGTTAACCTAAAAATGTCAAACGTCAAACATCAACTGTCAAAATAATGTGATAATAAGATTATTTTGGTTGTTTTTAAAGATAACTTGATCGTGTTTAGAGTTGTTTTAAAGGAAATTTAATGGAGATTAAGATTTTTAATTAAAAAATTTGAAATTTTAAAACCTGGAAGTTGATAAAAATTCTTTTTTATCTTTAGCAACTTATTAAGAAAAAGAAATCTTGTAAAATGAGTCCAAACACGACCCGTTTATCTTTAAAAATAATTTTTTTTGTAAATTAACCTAAAAATGTCAAACGTCAAACATCAACTGTCAAAATAAGGTGATAATAAGATTATCTTGGTTGTTTTTAAAGATAACTTGATCGTGTTTGGAGTTGTTTTAAAGGAAATTTAATGGAGATTAAGATTTTTTATTAAAAAACTTAAAATTTTAAAAACCGGAAGTGGATAAATAGTATTTTTTGTCTTTAGCAACTTATTAAGAAAAAAAAATCTTGTAAAATGAGTCCAAACACGACCCGTTTATCTTTAAAAATAATTTTTTTTGTAAGTTAACCTAAAAATGTCAAACGTCAAACATCAACTGTCAAAATAATGTGATAATAAGATTATCTTGGTTGTTTTTAAAGATAACTTGATCGTGTTTGGAGTTGTTTTAAAGGAAATTTAATGGAGATTAAGATTTTTTATTAAAAAACTTGAAATTTCAAAAACCGGAAGTGGATAAATATTATTTTTTATCTTTAGCAACTTATTAAGAAAAAGAAATCTTGTAAAATGAGTCCAAACACGACCCGTTTATCTTTAAAAATAATTTTTTTTGTAAGTTAACCTAAAAATGTCAAACGTCAAACATCAACTGTCAAAATAATGTGATAATAAGATTATCTTGGTTGTTTTTAAAGATAACTTGATCGTGTTTGGAGTTGTTTTAAAGGAAATTTAATGGAGATTAAGATTTTTTATTAAAAAACTTGAAATTTCAAAAACCGGAAGTGGATAAATATTATTTTTTGTCTTTAGCAACTTATTGAGAAAAAGAAATCTTGTAAAATGAGTCCAAACACGACCCGTTTATCTTTAAAAATAATTTTTTTTGTAAGTTAACCTAAAAATGTCAAACGTCAAACATTAATTGTAAAAATAATGTTATAATAAGATTATCTTGCTTGTTTTTAAAGATAACTTGATCGTGTTTGGAATTGTTTTAAAGGAAATTTAATGGAGATTAAGATTTTTTATTAAAAAACTTGAAATTTTTGAATCCGGAAGTGGATGAAAATTTTTTTTATCTTTAGCAACTTATTAAGAAAAAGAAATTTTGTAAAATGAGTCCAAACACGACCCGTTTATCTTTAAAAAATTTTTTTTTTGTAAATTAACCTAAAAATGTCAAACGTCAAACATTACCTGTCAAAATAATGTGATAATAAGATTATCTTGGTTGTTTTTAAAGATAACTTCATCGTGTTTGGACTTGTTTTAAAGGAAATTTAATGGAGATTAAGAATTTTAAAATAATAATTTATTTTTCATTAAAAATTTGTAATGTTTATATAAAATCGCGTTAAATGAGCCCAAACTCGACTAATTTATTTCAAAAAACAACAATTTTAATTTTTTTTTGTTGTATCTCCGTTATTTTTAGAGATAAATTAGTCGTGTTTGGGCTCATTTAAGGCGATTTTTCATTTTACACTCAATTTTTTTTGCTAAAACAACTTTGGCTTGAATATAAATTAGTTTATGTTTGCTGAAGTACCTAACTCGTCTGGTAAATATTGTCGGGCCACTGTACTATATGAAATTAACGTCAAAGTTTCGCGAATACACGAGTTTATTGAAGTTGTAATTAGAAGGAACTTTGACAGGAAAACTTTAATATAACTTTTACGTCTTGATGATGTTTTTGTGTCACTTCTTTCGCGGATAATCTTTTTTTTTGATTTCCCATTACGACTTCTCGTTACCATTTCTTGGAAAATTGCTAAAGTTTGATTTCAATCGTCTCCCGGGAAATTATTCGATCGATTTCGATTAATCTCATCCGGTTATTACAATGACGTAATCTTATTGAATTAACGGTTGAATAAATAAGAACAAAACTTTTTAAGTTGAAGATTCAAAGCGATTAATTTCCGCCAAAGAAAGTTTTAACGAGTTTTTGAACGAAATCAAAACATTTTTTTCGTGATGGCACAATAAACGAGTCCCTTTACCATAAAATAAATATGGTAATAGTTGGGGTTTTCTAAAACGCGTTGGGATCTTGTGTTGGAAAGGTTTAGAAACTTAGATCATTCTTTCCTGCTTGGGCAGCTTTTCCACGTTCCGATCAATCAATAAAATTGATAGGTTTCAGTGCTGGACAAAACCTTCGGCGTCCTTGTTCCATTTTTGTTCTCTTCTTTGCACTATTTTTTGCTTTATCTGGCTTCACAGAGAACGCGGGTTAAAATTGATGAAGAACCACCTTCTTATTAAAGCAACGATGTAATTAGAATTAAAAAAAAATAATTTTGTTACACTTTTTTATTAAAAATTGATAATAATAATAAAAAGAGACGTATTGGAAGCGTTAAATTCGCGTGGCAACATTCTGAAATAATAATAAAAATGTTCATAAAATCGCTATATCGACCGGATGTATCACTGTATATCATCAGTTTATGAGGAAACGCGTTGCAATAAATCCGATACCGAAAACCTTTTAAATTTAGATAGTATTAGGAAAAAAATGGTTTAGAAATTGTTTAATAATTTCGTTTAAAATCTATAATCCGCGTGATGAATCCTAAAAATGCTGTTTTGATATAAATCCGAGGATGAAATCTGAGAACGAAAGATATAAACACGTTTCGATAACATTTTCCAATATCGCTTTCAATCTTTCGCTTTCAATTCTTGTGGCAAAAAATGAACGAAAATAAACACCGGTATTTCTTTTTCTTTAGAAATCGCTTTTCGCATTCTGCACAACAAAATATAATATCGATCATATTATCCATTATATAAAAAGTACATGAAATTTGCTATAAATTGCATCGATATCTCAATTGATTTTTGAGATATGATTTTTTCAAATTTAGTACTTATAACTTCAAATTGTCAAAAGTGGAAGTGAATTAAAAATAAAGAATTGATTTTCTACCCATTAAATGTTAATTAAATTTGCTTTAAAATGGCTTTTATGTTATGATGATATCTCATTTCGTTCTTGAGATACGATTATTTAAAAGTAATTTTTATCAATTTAACCTCAACTATTCCATTAAAAGAATCGTATCGTCGAAAATTATAGGAACGAAGGAATTATTTTTGGTGCATTAAAACTAGATTAAATTTGCTATAGAACTGTTTTTAAATCGTATCGATATCTCAATTACGTTTTGAAATATGATTTTTTTTAATTTGGTGTTATAACCTCAACTTGTCAAATGTGGATGTAGATATGAATTTAAAAAATTATAACTGCGGGGTTTATAAACATAAAGAAACGATTTTCTTTATATTAAATATTAAATAAATTTGCTTTAAAATGGCTTTCATTTCATGATGATATCTTGACTCGTTCTTAAGATACGATTTGTTAAATGTCATGTCATGTCAAAACATTCATTTTTGGATATTTTTTGATTTAATCACCCACAACTTTTTTAACCCAACTTTGATAATAATTTAGCTATATTTATTAGTATCTTCACCCTTTTTATTGGAACTTGTCTAAATTTAATGATTGCAACCCGATTTTCCAAAGACTTAGTAACTTTAATTTATCCTACAAAATTAATTTTTGGACATTTTTGGTTTAATCACCCACAACTTTTTTAATCCAACTTTAATCATAATAATGTTTTATTTATTAGAATCTACACTCTTTTTATTGCATCTTGTGCAAATTTCATGATTCCAACCCAATTTTCCAATGACTTAGAAACTTTCATTTCTCCTAAAACATTCATTTTTGGACATTTTTTGATTTAATCACCCACAACTTTTTTAATCCAACTTTAATAATAATTTAGCATTACTTATTAGAATCTACACCCTTCTTATTGCAAGTTATGCAAATTTCATAATTCCAACCCAATTTTCCAAAGACTTAGAACCTTTCATTTCTCCTAAAACATTCATTTTTGGACATTTTTTGATTTAATCACCCACAACTTTTTTAATTCAACTTTAACAATAATTTAGTTTTATTTATTGGAATCTACACCCTTCTTATTGCAACTTGTCCAAATTTCATCATTCCAATCCGATTTTCCAAAGACTTAGAAACTTTCATTTCTCTTAACACATTCATTTTTGGACATTTTTTGATTTAATCACCCACAACTTTTTTAATCCAACTTTAATAATAATTTAGCATTACTTATTAGAATCTACACTGTTTTTATTGCAACTTGTCCAAATTTCATGATTCCAACCCAATTTTCCAAAGACTTAGAACCTTTCATTTCTTCCAAAAACATTCATTTTTGGATATTTTTTGATTTAATCACCCACAACTTTTTTAATCCAACTTTAATAACAATTTAGCATTATTTATTAGAATCCACACTCTGTTTATTGCAACTTGTCCAAATTTAATGATTCCAACCCGATTTTCCAAAGACTTACAAACTTTCATTTCTCTAAAATATTAATTTTTAGACATTTTTTGATTTAATCACCCATAACTTTTTTAATCCAACTTTAATAATAATTTAGCTTTATTTATTAGAATCTACACTCTTTTTATTGCAAAATGTGCAAATTTTGATGATTCCAACCCAATTTTCCAAAGACTTAGAAACTTTTATTTCTTCTAAAACATTCATTTTTGGTCATTTTTTGATTTAATCACCAACAACTTTTTTAATCCAACTTTAATAATAACTTAGCTTTATCTATTAGAATCTACACTGTTTTTATTGCAATTTGTCCAAATTTCATGATTCCAACCCAATTTTCCAAAAACTTAGAACCTTTCATTTCTCCCAAAAACATTCATTTTTGGACATTTTTTGATTTAATCACCCACAACTTTTTTAATCCAACTTTAATAATAATTTAGTATTAATTATTAGAATCTACATTCTTCTTCTTACAACTTGTCCAAATTTCATCGTTTCAACACGATTTTCCAGCGACTTTAGAAACTTTCATTTCTCCTAAAATATTCATTTTTAGACATTTTCTTGATTTAATCACCCACAACTTTTTTTAATCCAACTCTAACAATAATTTAGCTTTATTTATTAGAATCAACACCCTTCTTATTGCAAGTTATGCAAATTTCATGATTCCAACCCAATTTTCCAAAGACTTAGAACCTTTCATTTCTTCCAAAAACATTCATTTTTGGACATTTTTTGATTTAATCACCCACAACTTTTTTAATCCAACTTTAATAATAATTTAGCATTACTTATTAGAATCTACACCCTTCTTATTGCAAGTTATGCAAATTTCATAATTCCAATCCGATTTTCCAAAGACTTAGAAACTTTCATCTCTCTTAACACATTCATTTTTGGACATTTTTTGATTTAATCACCCACAACTTTTTTAATCCAATTTTAACAATAATTTAGCTTTATTTATTAGAATCTATACCCTTCCTATTACAACTTGTCCAAATTTCATCAGTCCAACCCGATTTTCCAAAGACTTAAAAACTTTCATTTCTCTTAGAACATTCATTTTTGGACATTTTTTGATTTAATCACCCACAACTTTTTTAATCCAACTTTAATAATAATTTAGCATTACTTATTAGAATCTACACCCTTCTTATTGCAAGTTATGCAAATTTCATGATTCCAACCCAATTTTCCAAAGACTTAGAACCTTTCATTTCTTCCAAAAACATTCATTTTTGAACATTTTTTGATTTAATCACCCACAACATTTTTAATCCAACTCTAACAATAATTTAGCTTTATTTATTAGAATCTACACCATTTTTATTGCAACTTGCTCAAATGTCATGATTCCAACCCAATTTTCCAAAGACTTAGAAACTTTCATTTCTCTTAAAACATTCATTTTTGGACATTTTTTGATTTAATCACCCACAACTATTTTAATCCAACTTTAATAACAATTTAGCATTGTTTATTAGATTCTACACTCTTTTTATTGCAACTTGTCCAAATTTCATGATTCCAACCCTATTTTCCGATGACTTAGAAACTTTTATATCTCCTAAAACGTTCATCTTTGGAAATTTTTTGATTTAATCACCCACACATTTTTGAATTTAACTTTAATAACAATTTTGCATTATTTATTAGAATCTACACTCTCTTTATTACAACTTGTCCAAATTTTATGATTCCAACCCGATTTTCCAAAGACTTACAAACTTTTATTTCTCTAAAACATTAATTTTTAGACATTTTTTGATTTAATCACCCACAACTTTTTTAATCCAACTCTAACAATAATTTAGCTTTATTTATTACAATCTACACCCTTTTTATTGCAATTTATGCAAATTTCATGATTCCAACCCAATTTTCCAAAGACTTAGAAACTTTCATTTCTTTTAAAACATTCATTTTTGAACTTTTTTGATTTAATCACCCACACCTTTTTTAATCCAACTTTAATAATAATTTAGCTTTATTTATTAGAATCTACACCCTTTTTATTGCAATTTGTCCAAATTTCATGATTCCAACCCGATTTTTCAAAGACTTACAAACTTTCATTTCTCTAAAACATTAATTTTTAGACATTTTTTGATTTAATCACCCACAACATTTTTAATCCAACTCTAACAATAATTTAGCTTTATTTATTAGAATCTACACCCTTTTTATTACAACTTGTCCAAATTTCATGATTCCAACCCAATTTTCCAAAAACTTAGAAACTTTCATTTCTCTTAAAACATTCATTTTTGGACATTTTTTGATTTAATCACCCAAAACTTTTTTAATCCAACTTTAATAACAATTTAGCTTTATTTATTAGAATCTACACCCTTTTTATTGCAATTTGTCCAAATTTCATCATTCCAACCCGATTTTCCAAAGACTTAGAAACTTTCATTTCTTTTAAAACATTCATTTTCGACATTTTTTGATTTAATCACTTTTTTAATCCAACTTTAATAATAATTTAGCTTCATTTATTACAATCCACATCCTTCTTATTGCATTTTGTACAAATTTTCCCGATATTTTTTAACTTTTTATTTTTATTTCATTTTTCTATATTACAACAAATAGTTTAAAAATTAAACTTTTAAATGGTACAAAATTGAATTATAATTTAAATTTCAATGAAGCACGGTCGATTAATATAACGATATCCGTTCAGGCGCGAAAATTAATATTCTAATTACTTGGTATCCGAGATTGAATCGATTTCAATGAATATGTTGATCAACTCAAACTTGATTTTTTAACGTTTTTCTTTTTTAATCAATAAAGGACAAATAAAAAACAAATTACGATATAGACAACATTTATAATTATTTACGAACCATATAAGTTATTAATTAATTATAAATTAAAATTATTTTCATTTTTCGTGACGAAACGATATGTTTTTTTCTTTTCCTTATTATTTATTTTTTTATTTAACAATCGTACATTTTATTTATTCCAATTTCTTTCAACACAATCTTATTTTTTCCAATAACTTCCTTATTTTTGACATTACTTAGTGGTTTCATGCGAACAATCGTTGATTCACAACATTTTTTGTTCGTCAAAATCGTGTTTTTACGCTTTATACAAAAAGATTCGACCGTCGTTCCCTAAAACAATCAAAAAGAATTTCTTAATTTAACCCCCAAACAAATTAATTCATTTAATCTTAAAAAATTTATGTTACAACGTTTACCAAATCCCACAACAAGCTCGGAATTAACAGAGATAAAGCTCTTTGAAGTGGTTTCTCGTTGTTTACTAACCCCTTCGATTCACAACCACGAAAGGTTTATTAGTTTATGATTCAAAATTACCTGCGTGGTGTTTTTTCTGTAAGTTGAGTTAAAACTTGTTTCGCAATTTCCAAGTAAGGATGAAGGTGTCGTTCTTTGCAGTCTTCTTTGGTCCTTGCAGAATAAGTAGCGGTTAAAATATTGTCGGAAAACCCCACTTACGCAGTATAAAGCGACTGGGTTAACACAAGAACTAGAAAAACTACAACAAAGAATTATTAGGATAAAAAGATTGTTTTAAATTTTTACCTCAAACAAAATCCAACGATTTTGAGCGTGTGCCAATATTCGTTATAATCAGATTCCGCCGTTGGGTGGAAAAAAAACCATAAGAAAAAGACGTGGTAGGGAAGAAAACATATAAAAAACACTAAAAAAATTAAAAATCAATCATTTGTGATTCCATGATTTGAATGCTTACAAAACACAAAACATAAAACCATTCTAGCCACATTTCTTCTAGCTCGTATTTGAGATAAACTCTGCCCCTGTAATTGACCGGGGATTTCGTTAACGCTCGCGTGAAGTTTTTTGGCCATCAAAATGTAAAAGGAAGCGATTACAAAAAGCGGCACGATGTAAAACACCAACGCTTTTCCTGCAATTATGTATTTTTTGTAAGCGGTCGTTACCGTTGCGGGAAATGGGGTGCAAATGTGAATCGCATTCGACGAAGAATTTTCAGTGTACGAAGTAATATCGGTAAAAATACCATCGGGAATTGATAAAATTATAGCTAAAATCCATATTAACACCGCAATCATCACCGTTAAGGGTTTCGTCTAAAAATAAACCAAAAAAAAAAGATTAAAAATTAATTAATTTAATTTAATTTTACCTGCAATCGTCTTAAAGGATTTACAATAGCACAATATCTTTCAGCTGATAAAGCTGTGAGTGTAAAAACGGAAACGCCCGTTGAGATATCTTTAACTACCTCGGAAGTTTTACATAAAATAACCCCCCATGGCCAACTTTCCACCGTGTAAATAGTCGAAGTAAATGGGACACAAGTTAAAATTAGTAATAAATCAGCCAAAGACAACGAAAGAATATATCTAAAAGAAATAATTAAATAAACCGAATTAATTAATTGATTAATTAATATTTACGTATTTGGTACATTTCGCATCGGTTTGTGTCTTAGAAATACAACGACCAAAGTTCCATTTCCGAGAACTCCAACCACAAATATCATGAAGAACAGCGCCGGAACTATGTATGTTTCAGGGCGTTGATCATACGGTACATATTCGGAACCTGGGGTTGTTACTGGGGGTGGTAGAGATGATAATGATGTGTTTAAAACGGACTCATCCATTTCTAAAAAAAATGGGTTAAGTAATATTATGAAGTAGCTTATAAAGATTTGGAAATATGAAAATCTTTACGGAAAAACTATTCGGAAACGGGGTCACAAGGAGATATGAAAATGACGAAATAACTGGTCTAGGTATATCTAGGAAGGAGATAGAAAAAGGAATTTAAACTAGAAAAATTTCTTTATGTCAACTGTTTAGCACAATTTATGATATTGGTGCAATCCTTAACAATGGCTATAATTTATCATTATCGCAGTACGTAAAGTAAGAACTTGAACCCTAAAAATCTTCTTAAAATAATTCATCATTCAAGCAATTAATGGTAATATTCTGGAATCGGAGTATGTTACAAAAAAACTTTTAGAGCAAAAGTTGTAGCAAATTTTATTCTTAACAATATTGCTCTCTTGTACTTTTGCTCTAAGATGTGTAAATATCGAGAAAAATACGAAAATATGAAAATTTGATGAATTTCGTTTTTTTTTTACAAGCAATGGTAATACTCGGGAATCGGAGTGTGTTACAAAAAAACTTTTAGAACAACAATTGTAACAATTTTTATTGTTAACAATATTGCTCTCTTTCATTTTTGCTCTCAGATGTGTAAATATCGAGAAAAATACGAAAATATGAAAATTTGATGAATTACGTTTTTTTTTATAAGCATTGATAATACTCGGGAATCGGAATATGTTACAACAAAACTTTTAGAACAACAATTGTAGCAATTTTTATTCTTAACAATATTGATCTCTTTCGTTTTTGCTCTAAGATGTGTAAATATCGAGAAAATACGAAAATATGAAAATTTGATGAATTTTTTTTTACAAGCAATGGTAACACTCGGGAATCGGAGCGTGTTGTAAAAAAACTTTTAGAATAAAAGTTGTTGCAATTTTTATTCTTAACAATATTGCTCTCTTTCGTTTTTGCTCTAAGATGTGTAAATATCGAGAAAATACGAAAATATGAACATTTGATGAATTTCGTTTTTTTTACAAGCAATGGTAACACTCGGGAATCGGAGCGTGTTGTAAAAAAACTTTTAGAATAAAAGTTGTTGCAAATTTTATTGTTAACAATATTGCTCTCTTGCACTTTAGCTCTTAAATGCGTCAATATCGAGAACAGTACGAAAATTTGATGAATTTGTTGCTTTTTCAAGTTATTAAAGGTAGCACTTCAGAATCGGAGCTTGCTATAAGAAAACTTTTATAACAAGAATTATTGCAAATTTTATTCTTAACAATATTGCTTTCTTTCGTTTTTGCTCTCAGATGTGTAAATATCGAGAAAATACGAAAATATGAACATTTGATGAATTTCGTTTTTTTTTACAAGCAATGGTAACACTTGGGAATCGGAGCGTGTTGTAAAAAAACTTTTAGAATAAAAGTTGTTGCAAATTTTATTCTTAACAATATTGCTCTCTTTCATTTTTGCTCTCAGATGTGTAAATATCGAGAAAAATACAAAAATATGAAAATTTGATGACTCGTTGTTAATGGTAACACTCGGGAATAGGAGCGTGTTGTGAAAAAAACTTTTAGTGTAAAAGTTGTTGCAAATTTTATTCTTAACAATATTGCTCTCTTGCACTTTTGCTCTCAGATGTGTAAATATCGAGAAAGATACGAAAATATGAAAATTTGATGAATTTCGTTTTTTTTACAAGCAATGGTAATACTCGGGAATCGGAATATGTCACAACAAAACTTTTCAAACAACAATTGTAGCAAATTTCATTCTTAACAATATTGCTCTCTTTTATTTTTGCTCTAAGATGTGTAAATATCGAGAAAAATACGAAAATATGAAAATTTGATGAATTTCGTTGTTAATGGTAACATTCGGAAATCGGAGCATGTTGTGAAAAAACTTTTGGAGTAACAGTTGTTGCAAATTTTATTCTTAACAATATTGCTCTCTTGTACTTTTGCTCTCAGATGTGTAAATATTGAGAAAAATATGAAAATTTGATGAATTTTCTTTCTTTTACAAGCTATTAATGGTAAGATTCGGGAAACGAAGTATGTTACAAAAAAACTTTTAGAACAACAATTGTAGCAAATTTCATTCTTAACAATATTGCTCTCTTTCATTTTTGCTCTCAGATGTATAAATATCGAGAAAAATACGAAAATATGAAAATTTGATGAATTTCGTTTTTTTTTTACAAGCTATGGTAATATTCGGGAATCGGAGTATGTTACAAAAAACTTTTGGAACAACAATTGTAACAAAATTCATTCTTAACAATGTTGCTCTCTTTCATTTTTGCTCTCAGATGTGTAAATATCAAGAAAAATTCTAAAATATGAAAATTTGATGAATTTCGTTTTTTTTTGACAAGCAATGGTAATATTCGGGAATCGGAGTTTGTTACAAAAAAACTTTTACAACAACAATTGTAGCAATTTTTATTCTTAACAATATTGCTCTCTTTCATTTTTGCTCTCAGATGTGTAAATATCGAGAAAAATTATAAAATATGAAAATTTGATGAATTTCGTTTTTTTTGACAAGCAATGGTAATATTCGGGAATCGGAGTTTGTTACAAAAAAACTTTTACAACAACAATTGTAGCAATTTTTATTCTTAACAATATTGCTCTCTTTCATTTTTGCTCTCAGATGTGTCAATATCGAGAAAAATACGAAAATATGAAAATTTGATGAATTTCGTTTTTTTTTTACGAACAATGGTAATACTCGGGAATCGGAGTGTGTTACAAAAGAACTTTTGGAACAAAAATTGTAGCAAATTTCATTCTTAACAATATTGCTCTCTTTTATTTTTGTTCTAAGATGTGTAAATATCGAGAAAAATACGAAAATTGAAAATGTTATGAATTTCGTTGTTAATGGTAACACTCGGGAATCGGAGTATGTTGTGAAAAAATTTTTAGAGTAAAAGTTGTTGCAAATTTTATTCTTAACAATATTGCTCTCTTGCACTTTTGCTCTCAGATCTGTAAATATCGAGAAAAATACAAAAATATGAAAATTTGATGAATTTCGTTTTTTTACAAACAATAGTATTACTCGGGAATCGGAATATGTTACAAAAAAACTTTTAGAACAACAATTGTAGCAAATTTCATTCTTAATAATATTGCTCTCTTTTATTTTTGCTCTAAGATGTGTAAATATCGAGAAAAATATGAAAATTTGATGAATTTCGTGTTTTTACAAATTTAAAAATACATAAGCTGTTATGTATCTTCAACAAACATTTGGACTAAAAGATTATAAAATTTATTAAGACAGTTGAAAATAGCAGGTGCAATATGAAAAGAATTTGGCTGAGTTTGGACATTTTATGGCAATGTATTTATTAAAGACAAATAGTTTGTATAATAGAAGTTTTGTCAGAAACAGATTGTCAGATCTGTGTGTAGATTTAGCAATTTTGTGTTATAACCTTCTGCATTTCGTGGGGAAGAAGATGATTTTTTTAATTTTCCTGCGACAACTTAAAACTATTCTAAATACTTGGAGTAGGAATCTGAGGTTGCACTATGTCGTTCGAGTAGCTCCTCTAGTACAGATCGATATCCCCTGATTGCTCTGAAACTTTTAGTGATATTTAGAGAATAACCTTTCAAGTATATTCTCAACACAATTAAATTTGCTCCAGATTGTAGAAGTTTTGAATTAAAACGATTTTTTATACATAAAAGACGTAGAATTTTTTTCTCAAAAGTTAGAAACTGTGGCAACCTAAATATGCTTTAGATAGTTTGAGGATTAGGAACATAACTTCAGCCTAATTTCGTATTTGAGAATCAGATGTCGAAGATGATCTTGATAGTTATTGGGAAAGAAGTTAAAAGAGAGTAGGAGAGGATTGAGAAATGTTCAGGATAACATTCCGGGGAATAATTAAATAAAGTTTTAACTGGTTACACTCTACAAAAATAATTCTCAATCCCTAGAAAGGGCGATGTCGCACGCTTTTTATACAGATTAAGATCCCTTCGTTTTGTTTTCATCATAAAATCTGAATTAATCTAACTCTTTAAACTTTTTTTCAATAATAAATTTTAATGTATTATAACCAAGAAAGGGAATTTCTTTGGATTTACTTTAAAGCTGTAAGTCCTTGTTAACAGAGACGGGATTTGTATTCTTACAAGGATCAGCACTTTATCTGTCTTTTAAACCTGAAAAGAATTGAATTGAATGGAAAAATTGTTGGATTTGAATCTAGTTGAAAAAGGTTTTTTATTTTATAACTCGGAATGTTTAAAAATTCATTTTAACCTTTTTCTCGATAAAATTTGTTGTTATTCCAACAAATAATTTAAATAAATAAAATTTTCTTACTTTATATTAGAAATTTTCCTTTCGATTTTTTCTTTTCTTCCAATTCAATAATCACTTCAATTTTAAATAAATAAATAATCCACAATTTTTTAAGACAAATCACAGAACGATAAATTTTTTTATTCGTATTCAAAAAAGGGGAAAAATAAACACAAATAAATTAGAATTGTATCCCGAGATCCTTCTATTCGCGATGTTTCCGGGATACTGGAGTGTTCCGGGACGGACAAGAGCAACTCTGGGTATGGTTACTGCACACGAATTCAACCATAGAAAATTGGGTAGAGGGGAAATCAACTCAACAAATCACCCCATTAAATCAAAAAAGAACTTTTATTATACTTTATTATACTAAAAAGTGTTCATTTTTAACTAATTAATTTTAAATTATTTAATAAAATTGTAATCTTAAAGAAAAGAGAGAAAGAAAGAGAAACTCTCTGTAGGGATGATAATTTAAAGTGAAATTTTCCCTCGAATTCAGGAAGATCTCCATCAAGCGTGTCTTTATTACATTCGACGGTTTATTTGAATTAATAAACGTATTACATAGAACGTAGAGGTTGCGAGAATTCAAGTTCTCTTAAATGTTTATGTTTCGAATTACACGTGAAAATTGTTTAATTCTTTTTTCTTCCCAAAAGAATAAAAGTTAAATCTATAAATTAAAAAATAATTCCTCTACTTAATGTTAATTTTAATTTCAATTATGATTGGATAAGTGGAACATTATATACGGAAATACATACTCCCATTACATCCATTATTCGAGTACAAGTTTCATCATTACCAGCTATTATAGCTGCAATCGACGCCTCCACCAAGCTTCGGCAATCAAAACCACACCATTCACATATATTATCTCTTACTCCTCCTTGTTACAAGAAATTGAAGTTGCATTTGGTGAATTATTGATTCTGTAAACGTCCAAAACATTTCATATTACTAGCTACTGATAAAAATGCTTTATTGCTGTCAGAATAGGTAATATTTTCTAAGATAATACTTTTCTGCGTAGTGACTTGTATAGTGGCTGCAACTTTTTAGAGTATTCCAAAAAAGAAGAAGATGTAGAAAATGGGTGGGTGAATTTGAATTAGAGGTCCTTCTTTTACAAACAATGGTAATACTCGGGAATCGGAGTGTGTTACAAAAAAACTTTTAGAATAATAATTGTAACAATTTTTATTCTTAACAATATTGCTCTCTTTCATTTTTGCTCTAAGATGTGTAAATATCGAGAAAAATACGAAAATATGAAAATTTGACGAATTTCGTTTTTTTATAAGCAATGGTAATACTCGGGAATCGGAATATGTTACAACAAAACTTTTAGAACAACAATTGTAGCAATTTTTATTCTTAACAATATTGCTCTCTTTCATTTTTGCTCTAAGATGTGTAAATATCGAGAAAAATACGAAAATATGAAAATTTGATGAATTTCGTTTTTTTACACAAGCAATGGTAATACTCGGGAATCGGAGTATGTTACAACAAAACTTTTAGAACAACAATTGTAGCAATTTTTATTCTTAACAATATTGCTCTCTTTCATTTTTGCTCTAAGATGTGTAAATATCGAGAAAAATACGAAAATATGAAAATTTGATGAATTTCGTTTTTTTATAAGCAATGGTAATACTCGGGAATCGGAATATGTTACAACAAAACTTTTAGAACAACAATTGTAGCAATTTTTATTCTTAACAATATTGCTCTCTTTCATTTTTGCTCTAAGATGTGTAAATATCGAGAAAAATACGAAAATATGAAAATTTGATGAATTTCGTTTTTTTTTTACAAGCAATGGTAATAGTCGGGAATCGGAGTGTGTTACAAAAAAACTTTTAGAACCACAATTGTTGCAAATTTTATTCTTAACAATATTGCTCTCTTGTACTTTTGCTCTCAGATGTGTCAATATCGAGAAAAATGGGAAAATATAAAAATTTGATGAATTTCGTTTTTTTACAAGCAATGGTAATACTTGGGAATCGGAATATGTTACAACAAAACTTTTAGAACAACAATTATAGCAATTTTTATTCTTAACAATATTGCTCTCTTTAATTTTTGCTCTAAGATGTGTAAATATCGAGAAAAATACGAAAATATGAAAATTTGATGAATTTCGTTTTTTTTTACAAGCAATGGTAATAATCGGGAATCGGAGTGTGTTACAAAAAAACTTTTAGAACCACAATTGTTGCAAATTTTATTCTTAACAATATGGCTTTGTTGTACTTTTGCTCTCAGATGTGTCAATATCGAGAAAAATACGAAAATATGAAAACTTGATGAATTTCGTTTTTTTTACAAGCAATGGTAATACTCGGGAATCGGAATATGTTACAATACAATTGTAGCAATTTTTATTCTTAACAATATTGTTCTCTTTCATTTTTGCTCTAAGATGTGTAAATATCGAGAAAAATACGAAAATATAAAAATTTTATGAATTTCGTTGTTACTGGTAACATTCGGGAATCGGAGCGTGTTGTGAAAAAACTTTTAGAATAAAAGTTGTTGCAAATTTTATTCTTAACAATATTGCTCTCTTTCATTTTTGCTCTAAAATGTGTAAATATCGAGAAAAATACGAAATTATGAAAATTTGATGAATTTAATTTTTTTTACAAGCAATGGTAATACTCGGGAATCGGAGTGTGTTACAAAAAAACTTTTAGAACTACAATTGTTGCAAATTTTATTCTTAACAATATTGCTCTCCTGTACTTTTGCTGTCAGATGTGTCAATATCGAGAAAAATACGAGAATATAAAAATTTGATGAATTTCGTTTTTTTTACAAGCAATGGTAATAGTCGGGAATCGGAGTGTGTTACAAAAAAACTTTTAGAACCACAATTGTTGCAAATTTTATTCTTAACAATATTGCTCTCTTGTACTTTTGCTCTCAGATGTGTCAATATCGAGAAAAATATGAAAATATAAAAATTTGATGAATTTCGTTGTTAATGGTAACATTCGGAAATCGGAGCATGTTGTGAAAAAACTTTTGGAGTAACAGTTGTTGCAAATTTTATTCTTAACAATATTGCTCTCTTGTACTTTTGCTCTCAGATGTGTAAATATTGAGAAAAATATGAAAATTTGATGAATTTTCTTTCTTTTACAAGCTATTAATGGTAAGATTCGGGAAACGAAGTATGTTACAAAAAAACTTTTAGAACAACAATTGTAGCAAATTTCATTCTTAACAATATTGCTCTCTTTCATTTTTGCTCTCAGATGTATAAATATCGAGAAAAATACGAAAATATGAAAATTTGATGAATTTCGTTTTTTTTTTACAAGCTATGGTAATATTCGGGAATCGGAGTATGTTACAAAAAACTTTTGGAACAACAATTGTAACAAAATTCATTCTTAACAATGTTGCTCTCTTTCATTTTTGCTCTCAGATGTGTAAATATCAAGAAAAATTCTAAAATATGAAAATTTGATGAATTTCGTTTTTTTTTGACAAGCAATGGTAATACTCGGGAATCGGAATATGTTACAACAAAACTTTTAGAACCACAATTGTTGCAAATTTTATTCTTAACAATATTGCTCTCTTGCACTTTTGCTCTCAGATGTGTCAATATCGAGAAAAATACGAAAATATGAAAATTTGATGAATTACGTTTTTTTTTTACAAGCAATGGTAATAGTCGGGAATCGGAGTGTGTTACAAAAAAACTTGTAGAACCACAATTGTTGCAAATTTTATTCTTAACAATATTGCTCTCTTGCACTTTTGCTCTAAGATGTGTAAATATCGAGAAAAATACGAAAATATGAAAATTTGATGAATTTCGTTTTTTTTACAAGCAGTGGTAATACTCGGGATTCGGAATATGTTACAACAAAACTTTTAGAACAACAATTGTAGCAATTTTTATTCTTAACAATATTGCTCTCTTTCATTTTTGCTCTAAGATGTGTAAATCTCGAGAAAAATACGAAAATATAAAAATTTTATGAATTTCGTTGTTAATGGTAACACTCGGGAATCGGAGCGTGTTGTGAAAAAACTTTTAGAGTAAAAGTTGTTGCAAATTTTATTCTTAACAATATTGCTCTCTTTCATTTTTGCTCTAAGATGTGTAAATATCGAGAAAAATACGAAAATATGAAAATTTGTTGAATTTAGTTTTTTTACAAATTGTTAATTAATTTATAGCAAAAGTTGTTGCAAATTTTATTCTTAAAAATACATAAGCTGTTATGTATCTTCAACAAATATTTGGACTAAAAGACTATAAAGATTTAGTAAACTCCCATTACATCCATTATTCGAGTACAAGTTTCATCATTACCAGCTATTATAGCTGCAATCGACGCCTCCACCAAGCTTCGGCAATCAAAACCACACCATTCACATATATTATCTCTTACTCCTCCTTGTTACAAGAAATTGAAGTTGCATTTGGTGAATTATTGATTCTGTAAACGTCCAAAACATTTCATATTACTAGTTATTGTGACTAGCTACTGATAAAAATGCTTTATTGCTGTCAGAACAGGTAATATGCAAGATAATAATTTTCTACGTGGTGATTTGTATAGTGGCTGCAACTTTTTAGAGTATTCAAAAAAAAAGCGGATGTAGAAAATAGGTGGGTGAATTTGGATTAAGAGAGATTTTGCCAAGAGCTCCCAAAGAGGCGACTATATATATGGAGGTCCTCGCAAGACAATAATAACAAAACGATATGAAACCAAACAGACTACGTATTGATAACCACGAGATATAGAAACAGTATCAAGTCAGTTAAAGCATACCCAGGCGCCGAAGATAAAGGAAGATTTGCAAATATTAGAAGGCAAGGAAGAATGCAAAAAAGTAAACGAAAGATGGCGCCACCATCGATGGCCATACTGAAGTAGGAGAAGTCCAGATAAGAACACTATAACACTATAAGATAACACAACGAATAATACGCACAAAAGTAATCAAAGAACCGGAAGACGAAGGCAAATCCATACTTTGTATGACGATAATGGCAAAATAGTCACAG